ATTTTTTTTATGAAATTCTCATCTTGATGTTTTTAGTTTCTGTTTGATTATATTCTTATTATTCGTATTTTCTTAGATGTAAAATCCTCTTTTACTTGCAATAGAATTTCAAAGAATGATGATACAAATGCAAAATTACCAACGTCTCTCCTTGCTTCTTTAAGGGTGGCCTACCAATATCTCTATCTCATTTTCTCTTAGTCTGTCTTTCATTTGGCATATTTGCTATAGGAATACAAGGACTTTCCTGTGGGTTTATCTATTTTTTTTTTTATTTGATGAAATGCAAAAGTGCATTAAAATAAAAGAAAGGACAACCTAATACAAACTAGGTAAAAGAAGCTAATGGTTCCTTTCTCAACATGAAAAAGGGACCTTATTGAAAACAAATTTGTTAAATTAAACTTATTATAATTGATATGAAACCCACTATTTCCTATTTTGAAACTGTTGAGATGCAAGGGATACCAAAGTTTTAAACAACCCGAGGGTTGGTTAGTATCCCAGAGTTCCCATCAAGTTAGCGAATAAGACTTAGTAATGATCCCATAATTAATTAGAAAAAGTTTAAAATGACAAACCAAAAGAAAAGTGGGTTTATCTGTTAGAAAAAGAGAAATCCGCCAGAAATATTCATTTTTGATTGATTTCATTCCGTCGGTAAAATCCGCATTAGAAAAAAAATAGTATCAAATTTTTGTCGCCGGAGATGTTACTGACGGATTTCTAGCAGATTTTTATTGTTTTACATTGGTGGATCTTGAACTGAATTCTCACTGGTGATTCCGACGGTAATTCCAGTGGATAATAACTCCATAAATTTTGTCCTGTCTATTTTCGACATCAAATCCGCTAGAAACTTGTAGCTCAGACAAAAAATAAAAACACTTATGTTAATTCTTCTACAATAACCCACAAAGAATGTATCTTTGACATAAATGAACTCAACTAGTAAAATGGATAAACAAAAATACCACAAGAACATTATTCTAAATGCATTAAATGATAGTTAAACACTGTACTATACAAATGATAGTCAAAATGTATCAGTTCTTAAATATTATATAAAACCAACAAAATTTTTGCAAGAAACCATACTCTAATCCTCTTCCATTCCCTCACTCCCCTCGGTTTGTGCATGGTGCTTTTCACGAAACTGCCACATGAATTTGCGCAGCTCATAATTTGTTTGGTTTTGCTGCATATACATATCAGCTTGCAATTTTCATGCTTGCTCAAGTTCTGTTGTCAGGCCAGCCACTTTTGGCTAACGTTTCTTGGCTGCTACTTGAGAAGCCTGCTGCGCCAGATGTCTATCCCTCAAATCTATAAACTTGCAAACCAAATCCATAAACTTTGACCTTCTGCAGTCCACCAATTGCTTGTGACCATATAATGTAGTCCGAATAATCTGTCGATCCCGTAGAGGATCCCTATGGCAACTTTAGGCTATGTACCCATTCACAAGCTAATCACCTCAGTTCTAAAATGAGGGTGAATGGGGCTTTTGATTTTAATAAGTCTTCCATTTTCACCATCCTTTAATTCTAGATATCTTCTTATGTAGTATTTTTTAGGTCCATCATATATTTTACATTATCTTTTGATTTTCCCTTTATATCCATCATAGTGTTGAAGACATTATCAAAAAAGTTCATTTCAATATGCATGACATCTAAGTTATGTCTGATCAAGTTTGTTTTCAAATATGAAAACAATCTAAAAATACTTTCTTTGATCCAATTGTGGCTCAATCCATATCACGGTACTCTGTGCTCAGCTAATTTTTGTCAATCATTGTGGGTATCATTTTCACTCTCTCAGAAACTTGATCACTAGTTAATCTAGGTGGAGGTTGTGCCTTCTCAATTTAATTTTTTGTGAAAGCATTTTTTTTCATCTAAATAGATGGTTAGCAGGTTAGAATATATGGTGATAGTCAAATCAAGTATTCTTGCCTCCATGTTCTAATGTGAATGATTTATTAAATTCCATGCGATACGAGAAAACTAGCTTTCCTGCAGTGCTCCAATTTGATAGCATACCAGATGCAGGAAATCATCAATTGTCTAAAGTAATGTTTCTCTCATTACAAAATTCTGTTTGATGAAAATATCATATGTTGTCACGCCTTTCTATAAGAATTTAAGGTCATCGATTAGGGTTGCTTTAACACATCAATTTTTGCTTTTGAATCATGTGGGCCATATATGAGAAGTGTAAGAAACATGTATGATGTAGTCAATACACATCTATGATGGAAGATTTTAGGGGGTGTCTTCACTGGCTTGCATGAATATGGTGAGGCTGTTTGGCTGAAAGGAGAAACCATCTACACATAACCCCAATCTTATATTTCTTGGTTCTGCGATAAAAGTACGATGTGTTCGGTCTAATTTCTTCCTGGCCTTAGCTTCTGAAGGATGAGTTAAAACACCTACCTGAGAAATATGTTTGCGGAGCTCCTTGATGCATATAGACAATGCAGTCTAGGAATAATGTGTAAAGTAAATTAATCGACTAACTAAAACATCCTTATGTTTTATATGTTTAAAAGATTTTGGTTTAAATCATGGCTCACTGCAATGACGACATGCTATCTCAAAAAAATCATCATTGTAATACAACATGCACACGTTAACACAACAATCTATTTTTGTAGCAGTCAAACATAATTGGAACCTAAACTTTTTTGATCTTGTATAAATCTGATGGAGTTATACTATCTACAGGGCCGGTCTCTTTAAGCAGCACAACAATTTGATTAAAACATTATCGAGGGATATTATATTCAATCTTTATACTCAATATTCTAAGTGTTATTTTATAAATAAATTCATTTGTTAATATTTTTCATCCAGACAACAATCGATTATATAATAAATTCCTTTGACTTTGAATATCCATATAAAATATGATATAGAAAATCCTACACACGAACAATCCTAAAAAAAAATAGTAGTAAGATGATACACCTTGAAAGTAAAAATAGCAAATAAAAGAGAAGAATAACTTAGGAACACAAAGATAGAGTTGATTTTCTTATTTCTCTTTCAATAATAAAGCAAAATACAATTGATCTACTATTCGAGAGGTAGATCAGCTCTCCCACAAACCCTAGATGCTGCTAGCAGCTCACAATAAAACCTAGGAAAATAAATATGACCACTAAAGTAAAACACTATGGAAAAAAAAGCACTAGGAAAATAAACTTAGTAATATCCTCTCTAAATCATAGACAAACTCTCCGTTAAATAGTCCTAGAACACCATAACACAATTAGAACCTTCCTAATTAACATAAACATAATTTAGTAAATATTTCTAAATAAATAGAATTTTTCTAATCAACATAAATATAATTTAGGAAATATTCCTAAACAATTAAATATAATTTAAGAAAGTTTTTTAAACAATTAAATATGATTTATGAAACCTTCATAAAGAATTAAAAATATTTTAGGAAATATTCCTAAACAATTAAACACTTCCTAAGTAGCATAAACACAATTAGGAAGCTTTTCGAAACAACTCCCCCTTGATTAGAAGCCTTCCTAAATAATTTCCCTTAATAAGGAATTTTTCTAACAACTCTCTCTCAGTTTGTGTACATGAAAGAACATAATCGCTTGAGCAAGATGCACTAGCTTTGAATTATTCATTTATGAAATAATATTTTATAAAATTTATTCATGTTAGCAGTACAACACTGAAGGATTAGGAATTGGAGTCCTATAGTAGATGGTGGGCATGATATGGCTTCTAGTTCATATTAACCACTCTCGTCCACATCTCTTGTATTTTCTCTCTATTCACACATCACATCGAATTGTGCCAAACTTAAAAAATATATATTTTATAGGAATTTTTGGCATTCTTCATCAATAATGTTTTCCTAAAACTCACATCCATTGTTCTTCTTTTCAACTAATTAGCAGTAAGTATTTTAAATTTCTCATGGAAAAAAATTTCTTCTCATAGAAAAAATTTCCTTTTCATGAAAAAAAAAATCATACATGTAATTTCTCCTATATATGTGATAATGTGAACCAATCTACAATATAAGCTAAATTCATTTTGGATTTCTTGCTAGTTCTACTTTAACAACTTTTGCTTATTGTAATCAATAAGAGTTTGAAGAAGATGCAAAGAAATGTCCTTACAACAAGTGAATGGAGGTGACCGACGATGCTTGGGACCGAGGATGGGGCAACAGTCCGAAGGGTCGAGAATGGCGAACGGTGACGCTCGAGATGAGGGCGGGGGCGATGACTATGTAAAATCGAAGGAGGAAGGAGGAAGGACTTGTGGGTGCTTAAAATATACTCGGAATAGCTATTTTGCGTGAAAATGGTGGAGGAAGGGATGTGGGGTGGAAATAGGGCCCATTTCTGCCGGAAATTCCCCATTTTGGCTACTACCAACTTTTCGTCAGTGATTCTGACAAAACACAATCCGACGAAAATAACAATTTGTCCTATAGTGATTTATGCTCTTATTCTCGTTTTTGGAGGACTTCTAATACAAGCCTCCCATCTCTTATCAATCAAGCAACTCAAAGGTAATTAATCCTCATCATCACGAAGCTCCTTGCACAAAGAAGAGTTTTCCTGCTTCCATGCCCACATTTTGCACAATAGGATATGATTTTTTATTATAAAGTTGAGTGGGGAAGCTTATGACATTTTACGTCAGTATAAAAAAAGATACAATAAAGTTTGTTTTCTAGGTAGTTTTTTCCAGAGACATTGCTTTGTTTAGCATGTGGCACTTTTAGTCGGAGTACTTCATGTGATGAACACGAGGATGTTAGAAGTATTTTTGTGTTCTCAATGTAGGTTCTCTTCTAGTTCAATTTGAGCACTGTTAATCTATTTGGTAACACCTTTGTAACGCTGACATTTTCCTGGCAGCAATTAGGTAATGCCGTAATGGTTGTAACCTCTCTACTTTGTTCATGGAACTTCAGTTTGCAGCGCTGATATGGTCATATTTTTGCAGATTATTCATTTTGATCGAGCATAAAGAAGGGAGACAAAAAACATTTTTGAAGGAATTTGGATGTGAAACTCGGCTTATGGCTGAAAAGGTGATGATTCGAGCATCAAAATGGGATGTGGCCACAGAAGCTCACGTAGAGACTGAAATCAAACATGACTATGCTCTGCCAGCAAAAATTGATTCTTTTTCAGAGTTTGTTGAACTGAATCATGAAGGTCATGATTCTGACCAAATTTTGACGTGCCATGATGTAGAACCTTGCATTCCAATAAATGTTGTAGGAACACATTACGGGGAGACTGAAATCAAGCATGACAATGCCCTGACAGCAACAGTTGATGATTCTTGTATAGATCTCCCAGAACTGAATCAAGAGAGTCATGATTGTAGCCAAATTTTGAGGCGCTCTGAAGCAGAAGCTTGTCTTTCTATGAATATGGATGGCTGTGAAACAGATAGATTAGACTATCAGTCTGGACAGGTGGAAAACAACAATGTTACGCATTTAGATGAATTCTGTGAAAATGCCCCAAAGTCCAAGCAGCTTGATCTGGACGGTGATTGCAAAGATGGTTTCAAGAAGCGAGATTTGGAACTTGTATCTAATGACCAAACCATGGAGTATTCTGAGCATCAAGATAAACTTCTGAAAGGGACTAATGCCATGTCACCTGTTCCCGAGGAAAGAAGGCAGGGGAATCACAACATTTACCCAACTGATGGCTGGGGCTCGTCAGGCAGGTACTTATCGAAGGTAGATGATAAGAATAGTAATGCATACTTCGACCTTCTGCACACTGGCCTTATGGGGCATTTGGCACGAATCAGCATTGTATGCCACTGAATTCTTCTGACTTTGTTTTCGTTTGGGATGGCTTTCTTACTGCTTCTTAAAGCAGCTTTTTAGTACCAAAATTAATTTTTAATTTTGGTACTGAAAAGCTGCTTTAAGAAGCAGTAAGAAAGCCGTCCCAAATGAAACCCTTATCAGGCATGTATGCGGAACCATTCTGCTACATGCCTGTAACGTCTGCGTCTCTGATTATTTATTTATTTTACACATGCATCAGCGAGAGTACCAAAAAAAAAAAAAAAAAAAAAAAAAAAAAAAAAAAAAAGGCACATGCCCACGGAGATGCATGTGCATATGATTTTGGGTGTCTATTTTTATGTGTGTGCCTATTTGTGCTTGTTTGAATCTGTGGGCACCTTCACATGCACATCTATTGTGGAGTCCTTTTGTGTTTATGTGAGGTTGTGCACATTTGCGAATGTTGGTGCATGTGGTTTCTGTATGGAAAATGGTGGATCACCTATTTATTTCCATGGGGTGGAGGTGAAAACAGAGTCTAGAGGTAGTTGGTTATGCAGAAGTTAGTTTTCATAAGATTACAATTATCTGAGTATCCTTTCATTATCAACCATTAGCAACATATGCGAGGATTGGGTGAGCCATTTTTGCATTGCTAGTATTTGATGAGGTTTGGAAGCATTAATTTCTTAATCTTTTCTTGTAGACATACATAAAATTGACTCCAAATAATTGCGTTATAGCTAATCAAGTGTCGAACAAAGTCACGAAATGCCAAATTAAATGTGGCATAAATGTGAATTTTATGTTTTTAAATTAAGAAAGAGGGACAATAATTATATTCTTTCAGCATCTCTCTTACATTATTTTTTCAATTTATTTAACAAATTGTTTAAGCGTCTTACCTAATGTAGGGATTTAGTGATTTAAGCTAAGCTTTTTTTAAAGTCATAATAATGCTAATGATTTTAACATTTCCATCCAAAATTTTTTACTTAACTTTTAGCAAGGATAATTAATTATTATGTAAAACAGTATCATCCATAGACCTTTTTCTTACTTTTGTAAGATGTTCAGTTTGCCAACCAGGGGCTGGGCCACAGCAGCATCAATATCCTAAAATAAATTAGTTATGACTTAGAACTTAAAATTTAAAAGTCTCTTTCATTCTCATTACTTGAGATTATTCATTAAAGTAATCATCTCGCCTTACTCATTATCAATTGCATCAACAACCACATAATTTTCTTCATGATCTTCAATCTCAATCATATTTCTCTTCTCTTATCAATGAAATCTAATAAAAATATTGTTTAAACTTTAAACTGTTAAAATTAGCCGTTCCCGGTGTGAAGGATCCGACGGTCACATAAATCAATCAGTGGGAAGCTCTCATGGATCACGCTATAATGAAGGAACTAATTTAGGAAAGAGTATATTAGGGATTTTATGTATTAAATCTATAATTTATTATTTCCTCATTAAGATATCTTATATAGATCTATAAATAGGGAAGATATTACTGAATAAACACAAGATTTTTCCACTCAAATTCTTATTTTTAACATGGTATCAGAGCCAACGGCCTTCATTGCCGTTGAAGAATGATCCTAGATCGTCGGAGGAGGAAAAGAAGAAGAAGGGAGCGAGCTACCAGACGCCGCCAACAGTCGCGAACATGCAGATCTTCTGGACGCCTGGTCCCATCTGCAAGACTCCGCCTGCTTAGCTCTTACAGTCGGATTTTCCAAACGATCGTGAAGAAGAGAAGACTACGGCCTTCATAGCCCTAGTCTCTAGGAGGAAATGAAGCAACAACAATAAGAAGAAGCTCGGAGCATCCAAGACTAGAAGCTGCCGACACCGCCCTAGATCGTTACCGACTCCCTGTACGCCGAAGTCGGGACTGACGACTCCCCCTTCGCCGAAGCCGGGACGAAGATAAAGGGCAAATTGTGCTCTATGCGTGCCCTAAGCTACTCGGTCCGACTCTTTTAAAGAGTCGGCGGCCCGGTTTTATTAAATCAGGAAGGTATTTATAAAAAAGACCTTTATTGTCGAACCGAAAAAATTTGTCCGAAGCCTTCATTGCTACCCAATGTCAGAAATTAATTCCTATCAGAGCATTGAACAAACTGAGGAGTCGATGTCGGACCAAGGATGAGGTGACCTTCAAAGCATGCAACCTTTCTATCATCTCAATAGGAAGAACTATGTAAAGTGGTCTCAATTTGTGAAGGCCTATTTAAAGGTGAAAGGAAAAATATATCACCTTCTTGGAGGAGGACCAAGACAAGGAGATTCTACTTTTGGGTCATGGGATGAAGTAGACTCCATGATTATGTCATGGTTGTGGAATTCCATGACTCCAAAAATTAGCGATACATTTATGTTCCTTTTCATTGCAAAGGACATATGGGATGCTGCCAGATAGACCTTCTCTAAAGCTCGTGATGCGGCTCAAATCTTTGAAATTAAAGTCAAAGTTGGAAGCACAAAGCAAGGGAGTAAGATCGTGACGGAGTATGCCACCCTTCTATAAAATTTGTGGCAGAAACTTGATCACTATAGATGCATAGAAATAAAATGTCCGGAAGATGCAGCTATCCTAAAGAACTTTATTGAAAAAGATAGAGTTTATGATTTTCTTGCAGGACTAAATGCAGAATTTGATCAAGTTAGAGTCCAGATCATCGGCCAAGACCCATTACTCAACGAAACCATTTATCTCGTCCGTGCGGAAGAAAGCTGATGAGAAGTGATGTTAGAACCAAAGGTTGTTGAAAGTTCAGCAATGGTGATGAACAAAGAATCGTCATGAAAGGAGAAAGGTAAAGATTCTTCAAAATTTAAAGACAAGGACTTACTTTGGTGCATGTATTGCAAAAAATCTAGACACACAAAGGAAACGTGCTGGAAAATACATGGAAAACCTCCAGCAAGGAGTGGAATAAAAAAGGTGAAACAAGTAGCACGTCGCATGTCAACAACACTATAAGCCAGCCCACCCCAGAAGTATAGTCAAACCTTGGAGAATTCAATAAAGAAGATATTAATAAACTGAAACGACTCAATGGTATCTCTTGAAAAACTAAATGCATCTTCTTCACTTGCACTCTCAGATAAGATTCCAATTTCTATTAATTTAAGTGATTCTAGAAATCTGTGGGCTCAAAAAATTCGGCCCCGGCCTTTGCTCGGTTTTCTTTTATTTGGCGAGGGAGTTTTAACGGAATAAGTTCCGGGGTAAA